AGAAGAATTGGAGCAGAGAGCTAAGATAATTGCAGTTTTCTTGGGTGGCTTTGCCCACAAATATGATATCATCTGCAAAAAACAAGTGAGATAAAAGAGGCCCCCTGCGACCAGCTTTGGAGCCTTTCCAAAGACCTGCATTCATGTTAGTGGAAATCTTAATAGCCAAAAATTCCATGCACAGAATAAAAATATAAGGGGAAAGGGGATCTCCCTGACGAATGCCTCTTGAAGGGGTGATGAAATCAGACCGATCACCATTTATAATAACAGAAATGGTAGTAGTGCAGACACAAGACATGATAAGTTTAATAATGGAGGGAGGGAAATTAAAAAAACAAAGGGCCTCATGGATAAAACACCATTCCAACCTATCATATGCTTTTTCTAGATCAAGTTTAATAATAAAATCGCCTTGTGCCCCCTTTTTCTTGGTGAAGGAGTGAACCAATTCCTGAAGAATCAGCACATTGTCACACCCTTGGCGCCCAGGGATAAAACTAGATTGGCAAGGAGAGATAAGTTTATCCATCCAAGGTTTGAGCCTATTAACAAGGATTTTAGACACTACTTTGTAAGTAGTGTTGCACAACCAAATGGGTCTAAACTCTTGGATTGAGATCGGAGAGGTATTCTTAGGAATAAGAACAACTAAACTTTCATTCCAGGAGGAGGGAATAATCCCAATGGAGAAAATTTGAACAATATCAGTACAAAGTTTATCCTTAGTAATATCCCAAAACTTTTGGAAGAATAAAGGGTGGACACCGTCAGGTCCAGGAGCTTTAAAGGGTTTGATGGAATGTAAGGCGGCCCAAATTTCATCCTTAGTAAGGACACCCTGGAAGGACTCAAGGGGGATGGCCTGAGGGGAAACATCAATACCTGCAAAAGAATCAGAGTAAGAGAGCTCATGCGAGGTGGTGAACAAACCAGAGAAATAGTTCATAATGAGAGTAGATAGTGCAGGAGGGTCAAAGATCCAATTGCCAGTGGAATCCTTTAGACCCAAAATCCTATTTCTGGCCTTGTGACGAACAGTTGATAGGTGAAAAAATTTAGTGTTACGATCACCCTCAATCAACCAATTAGATCTCGACTTCATAAACCACAAATCCTCTTCCATCTTAAGAATATTCTCATACTCCTTAGAAAGTTGTCTCTCAAGATCAACCAAAAAGGAGCTGTGAGGAAAAGCAGGAGAACGATAAATCCCATTGAGCCTTTTGATAATAGATTTCTTGTCCTCAAAGATATTTCCAAAAACAGTCTTGCTCCACTGCTTGGAGGCAGCGACAGTCAATGCAAGGGATTCAGTAGAATTAGTATTTGTTAGAGACCAGATGGGAGAGATGACTTGACTGAAATCATGATGATCAAGCCAAAACTTTTCCATACGAAATGGTCTAGGTCCCATTCGGGACAGATTAGGACAGAGATCCAGCATGATGGGATGATGATCAGAATTAAATCTAGGAAGGTGATATAGATTAGCTTCCGGAAAGAGAAGCCTCCAGTCTGGGTTAGCCCAGGCTCGATCCAAGCGTTCCCTAATAAGTTGATGGTTATTCCTCATGTTAAGCCAAGTAAACTTAGGCCCAATATAACCAATGTCCTGCATGTGGCAGTCATTCATGCAATCAAGATAGGAACGCACCCTGCTTTGGCAAACAATGCCACCCCCAAATTTTTCGGATTGATTGATGACATCGTTAAAGTCTCCAATAAGAACCCATGGGCAAGAGATCATTGTGGAGAGATAGCGAAGTTCTTGCCAAAGTATAGTCCTTATCTCATAAACAGGTCTACCGTAAATGCCAGAAAGAAACCAAGTATCAGAGGAAAGTGAGGGATGATTGCGTACCTTAACAGTGGCATGAATAGCTTGAGCATTAGTAGAAACAATGTCAAGGGTAACCTCGCTATCATTCCAAAGGATCCAGAGGCCTCCTGCTAACCCATCAAAGTCCACACAATGAAAGTGGGGAAAGCCTAGTGCCCTAGCTTTAGCAATAGCCTGGTCCCCGCTAATTTTTGTTTCTAAGATCAACATGATGCAAGGGTTATGAATCCTTTTGAGATCCATAGCACTAGATTGAAAGCTTTGTTTGGCCGCACCGCGGCAGTTCCAAGATATGATCTTCATTGACCAAACACGAGAGTTATTGGCCCTGAGGAGCGTCCTGGCCAAGGCTGCATTCATGATGGGGCTCGGTTGATCTTCTGCCTTGATCATCATCATCGCTCGTGGAAAGAACAATGGGAGGAGGTATGTTTGATATTCCATCTGCTCCCTTGTTTCCAATGTTTGGTACCATCTGCAATGAATGTGGATGTTCCCCATCGGTCCCTAGTACAACATAGTTGCAGTGAATTTTGATATGCTTTTTATTTGTTATTTTGAAGTTTTGTGATTCTAAATTTTTTTTTAGTAGTTTTTATCATAAAAATTATGTTATTATTTAATAATTATTTTTTGAAAAAAAATTACATATCAATATAATTATTAATTATATGAAATATTATTTAAAATTAAATTATAATAAATTAATACTTTTAATAAAGTGCAATGTGAAAAAATGCAGTAGAAAAACAATCACAAAATGAGTTAATCTAGTCTTCTTAGAAGGAGGAAGCTTCTTTTCAGTTTAATCTAAAAAGGAATTATGAAAAAGTTAGGACATCTTAGCAATTAAAATTTTGAAAATGGCAGTAAAAAGATTTAAGAATCTTTGTAACATCATGCTCTACAACAAAAAGGTCCTTTTTAATCTTGTTACAAGACACTTGATGCAAGTCTCTTTCTTCCTAATGGTTGCCGTCTCCCCCTAATTTCTTATGGTTTAACTGTAGTCATACCATACCACACCCAAGCATGACCTTAAAGTGATAACTGTAACTCCCCTACGATATTTCGGCAGCCATAATCTATATAATAGATGAAATAAAAAGCAGAGTAGGACACCGGGACAAAACATGAATCACCCGTTCAATGCTGGTGTTGATAAATATGTAATGCCATAACACATCTGAATATAGCAACTAGGAATATACATATATTTACATTTTCACTTTCCATATACATTAAAAAAAAAAAAATGAAAAGCTTCTCCATCCCGATCAACAGTGTCATGTAATATAAGAGATGGAAGGACGAAGTAGAGTTTCCCAAGCTCTTGAATCATATGCTTCTAAACTGAGTTGAACTTGACATGAAATGAATGATTTGCCCTTGTATTCTCACCATAAAAATGCTTCCTATCCATTCTCGCCTTCGAAAAACTCAATGCTACTCAAGAATCCACATAAATGATGAGAGCCTCAAATTCCTTCACATTTGCCTACTTGCAGTCTAGATTTTCAGACTTCCAGCACCTTGGCACATTTTAATTAGTGCAGATCATGGTAACTCATTTGAACCAATACAGAGGAAGAGCAAAGGTAAACTCTACCCTTCCCAGTTGCGTATCTCACTCTTGTCAGAGCTTGTCCCTAGACAGTGTAATGGAGTGCAATTATTACAAGCTTGATACTTAATCAGGTCTGGCTGCTATTGAACTTCTAAAATCCATGAGGTAATATCCCTGAGAAGTTCAAACTTTTTCTGGATGGCTATTTTCAAGAACACCTGCATCTTGCTGCGGAATTCAGATGCATCTTCTTTACACCTAAATGAGCCAGCACATGCACACTGTTCTGCTAAATGTGCAGCTTTCACCTGGTTGCACCTGCAGCACACCAGATCCTGTAGATGGTAGAGACGTTCTCTTTGTCTAACAACTTGAAGAAGAGCATTCTCCAATATCTCACGGTCATAGGGCTGGCCACACTGTGGCACAGAACAGCACCATTCCTCAGCTAATAAAGCTGAATCACGGCATAAGTCCAGGTCCCTGCAGTCATTGCAGTAGCTGGAAAAGGGAAATTCGTAAATCAGCAAGATGGTTAAGATTCAAATAGGTTAAATCAGATTTAAGCCAGAAAAGTTCGTTAAGAAAAGCACTGACTGGAAATATACCAAAAACTAACAATTCCCTTAAGCTCCTGTTGGAACTTTAGATGAGATAAAAATGCTTAACAAACAAGGCAGCACAAAACAGAGAGCATCTCCCAGAGGCAAAGTCAGGTCAAGAACTAGTCCAACTTTCTCTTGTAAAACATTTAAACAAGAGATAATCATCTCCCAGCGAAATGCAGAATATAGTGCAATGCATCTCTACCCCACTCAAAAAAGTGACTTGCATCCTTGGCAGTTAGAGAAGACCATTTAATTAGATAACATATGACATCTTCAGGGGGCAAATAAAAAGGAGAGAAAACACTCACATTCCTAAAGAGAGTTCTTTATTGTGGACAAGAATTTTTTTTTTTTTTTTTCAATTCAGAGTGGGATAGATTAAGGTTTTTTGATTAAATGAAAAGGAGAGATTTTTAATGTGGACAAATTTTCAGGTAAACACTCACATTCCTAAAAATAATAATAATAATAATAAATAAATAATAATAAATAATAAAAAAGGTCCAGGCAGTGTTCGGAGGACAGGAAGCCCTTCAACTAATCAAAAAACTTAATCTGAAAAAGCTGAAAAAACCATGTTACCCAAAAACTTATATACCTATCAGCATCCTTAGTAAAATTTCATGATTAGGACAGTCCAGATCCTAATTACAGATAGAAACTCTCTCAACAAAATAAAGCAATTATATATTACTGAATAAGAGTCAGAAGAATCCACTTGCACATGAGTAAATCTATCTTAAATTATCAGTGGTTGATTTCCTAGTACATCAGTTTCAGATATCTTACTAAATATAGCACTATCGTTTGAACTGTTGGATTTGGGAATTAACAACTGATAATTGACTTGCACAAGTGGATCCTGAGTATGAAATTGGTCATTTCCTAACAAGAACAGACAGTTAATGTCGACTTCTTTACCTGCAAATCACATTGGGTAAAATGAATGATGGGTATGGACCATGAAATTCAGCTTCTGGAGCAAATTCCCTTACACGTACATATTTCAAAAGATTCCTTCTTAGCACCTGTAGAATAAAGATAAAATAGAAAAACTATCAGCTCTTATAATGAAATTGCTACAAACCAGTTTTAATTGTCTGAAATCCAGAAGTGAATATGCAGAAAAATTTAGATACAAATAAGTATTTATTTTGCTGAGAAAAAATATAATATATATATATACATATATTTATAGGGATTACATACATACATACATATATGTATCTATATGTAGAAAAAATGGAATTTTTAGGACAAAGTGAAACAATTAACCAATCCAATTTAAGTTTCTTTTGCAACCATGAAGTAGAGGAGTTTTAGAGAGATCTGGAACAAAGAAGGTAAATAATGGTTGACCCATAAATCACTGGAGAAACATCTGTCTATCAAATTTCATTCCATTTCTGAAAACATTAGAAGCATTTTTCCAGGAGAGTTGTGTCTCTGCATTATTTACCAGAACGTTGTGCTGAACATTATGGTCAAGGGCCAGTACAGCACATATGTGCTTAATGAACTCCAGAGCAGTATCTCCCATGTGGACATTAATGACAGGTGGAGAATTTCCATGCGAGCTTTGCTGATCATTTTCAGAATTGTTTGTTCTCTTCATATGAAGAACAATATCACGAACAATTCCCAAAAGTTTCTCCATGAAGTAGGAGCTTATCTGTAGAAAGCACATACTACAAAATAAATTATACTGAACAAAGACAATAAACAACCTTTCAGAAAGAAATTCCACATCCATACCTGCTCTTTGAGATATTTCAGAAGCTGAGCTTCAATAGTCTCTGCTGTTGTAACAGTTACTGATGGAGTACATTTATTGCCATCTCCCGAAGATTTTCTGTTTACAGCAAGCTCTTGTGCATATTTCCAGGGAATATGCAAAAACTCAGACACAATTAAAACGAAATGGTCCTGCAAAATGCCCAGAAGATGGTCAGACAAGAAACTGCAAGGAACATCAACATACTTTCAGAAGTTTCTATGATAGTGGAAAAACATGGTATTTTGCAATAACAATGTTCTTTAGGTATGATCATTGCATAGAAGAAAGAGAGAACTTTACAGATGCTGGCTTACCTGAATTTTCTCTGGTAAATGCTGGGCGATAATCCAGTTTGAAACAATGTCAACTTCTGATTTATTTGAATTTTCATCAGCTCCAGCTAGGATTCCACCATAGTTATACTGTCACAGATGTATCAAAATAACATTTACATGTGTACAGAACAAGGGAAACCGTCACTAAGATAAATTTCAAAACAAAAAGTACTCTGACCCTTTCATTGGCAACTTCTTACTAAATTATAAGCTACAGAATAGGGGAAACTGTGACTAAGATATATTCAAGTGTCCCACAAATCACTCAAGTTTTTAGCAAGCTTTTATAAAAAAATTTAAATTAAATTAATAATAATCTATGTAGTTAATTTTTTCAATTAAACTCAAGCTTGAGCTCAACTGCTCAAGTAGCTAGTGAGCTTTCAGCCTTACTCAAGCTCAAGATCAAAATAGTTTCAAGCCTATACGAAAAATCGAGATTGAGATTGATTGTTACTTGAGCTCAAGTTTGATCAAGCCCAACTGAGCATGAGTTGAGTAGCTCAGCTCATTTATACAGCCCTAGTTTCTGGGTTAAATAACTAATTCCAGCAAGCAGGCAAACCAGCAATAAATAAACTGAAGGTTTAGGCAAATAAAGCATTTTATGGTATTCATGATGTTCAACTCCATTTTTCTAATCATTTCTATTAATCAAATTAACAATATAATGTTTGGCAAAAAAATTAGTATTTAGAAATGTAATAAATTCCAATCAAATATTGAAGGAAAATTGGGTAAAAAGCAATAAGAAAAGGACCATTATGCTAGAGTAAATTACTAAAGACATGAAAAGAATAAACTAATAACTAAGTAACCAAACCTGATCCATGAATAGCAAGGAATGCCAGAAGTGCATTGGTTCGAGCTCAATCCATTCAAATAGTTCTCTACGAATGAGAACAGAAAAAGAAGAAAATTATATCAAAAAGGGGCAAAAAGTTGAAAGTATGAAGCAGAAGCTCTCAGACCAATACCAACCTACTCTGCAGAGCTTTGAGTAAGCTATCACAATAAGCTTTGGCTGCTGATATATCATATTTTCCAGTATCGACAATAACCTTAGAGAAGTCTGCAAATATAATTGTGGCTCCCAACTTACGCAATTCAGCCAAAAGTAATGCAAAAACTTTTTGCATGATCTGTGGATAAAATGAAAATAAAGTGCACAAAATCAATTGGCCAAACATCTTTTGTAGAAAAGAAACACATAAAAGCTTATCATGCTTAACCAAGTTACAACTATGAAAAGGTAAGAGTAGATGTTATGATGACCTTAATGAAATCTAAATGGGAATCTTCTTTCTCATAGAGGGCTGCCCCAATCAAAATATCTATGCTTTTGGAAAACCATTAACACTTATCAAGAAGGAAAGAAAAATAAATAAAACATCAGAGCAAGAACCATTTCTGTCCACATTTCCACAGATTAATACTCTACTAAAGAACCAAATAAGTCTCATGAACTTAAATGAAATGATATTTACCTTCTGAAGCATACGGTGAAGAGCTGGATCATGAAGTTTTGACTGAGGGCTGTCATTTGAAGGTAAAAATAGTCAATATCTCAGACACCCAGAAAAAAATGTTGAAAGTTAAGAACTACCTGCAAAGCCATCTATAAAGATGCTGCAGTACCGCATCAGCAAATACATTTCCTGAGGTTACCGCATCTGCAAGGCACCTCTGCATCAGTTGTTTGAGGACACGAAATGCAGGTGCAAATGAGGTAGCTTCATCAAAGCCACACAGCTCATTTCCTTCAGACATCATGTCCCGCTCAAATCCTAACAAAGCTCCCCCTTCTATTTCATTTACTTGGTTGCATTTGAGAAGAGCATCCACAGCTAGGTGATGAATCTGTAAAGAGATAATATATGAGCTGCCATACAATCAAGATCAAGTTGGTAATAGCCTGACCACCTAGCCTCATCCCAATCCAACCCAAACAACCAAAAGAGAGTAAAGCATTTTATTTTCTGGACCTTTAGCTCCACTGAAACTCGTCTATATGCTCCAGGGTATGTAATTACAGGCTGATGGACCTGTTCGAAGTAATAGTTGGTAAGTTGACCAAATATAAAATTGCAAACATTTTTTTACAGGGATGGTAAAAAATTTAAAAAGAAATATGCAGAACCAAGGCAAGATAAATAAATAAATAAATATATTCCCATGAGGAGCAGCTAAGAAACCAAAACATCAAATAAAACAGAGAGCCATCAGTACTCCTTTTGGTTCCCTAGGGGACTGCACAATGGTTTGAGCTTGATATTTCTAAGTTCAAAGTCTCAAGTTCAAACCTTGAGCAGTTGGGCTAGGCAGGGTGTGGGTTTCAAAAGGGGAGCCCACACTTCTGCACCAATACAAATTCAGTAATACTTTGTGGATGCTAAGACTGAACAGCTATGACTTCATTATACCAAAAAGTCTGTCTGAAGCTAACCTCATCAGCAAAACATGAATCTTCTTCACTGGTGCCTCCTAGGTCAGGAACACCATCATCAGATACCCAAAGTACCTGAGAAAATCAGAATCTCATTAGTTGAAACATGAATAAACTAACCCACAATGACAGAAGAAAAGCTTTTATGAAATGCAAAAGTCTAAGGTTGCTAAGGACATAAATGACTGATCTATGCTAACTAATCAAAAAGAAAAAATTAAAGTACCAGAAAAAGAAAAGTTGAATTTGAACCAAGAAAGCTTTCCATAAATTTTAAAAGGTTTTTTGAAGAAAATATATTAAACATAAAGAATGGAAAAACCTGTTGTTGATCATGTAATGCTCTAGAAAAGAAGACATCTGCTATGAACAATAGCCAGTCAACTTCAAAGTTCCCCAAAGGTACCTGCCTCAACAACTTTAAAAAGTCAATATCCATTTATGCAAAGTACACCAAGGAATGGTAAAGACTTATAAGGAAATAGAAGTACTACATGTGCATATCTCGCAAGAGATATCCTCTCATTCAACCATTGAGATGATGCAGCACACCGCTGCATTCCAATTTTTGTTGCTGTTTGTTGCCACACAAGCAACTGGAGAGAGCATCATGGTTAAGCAATAATATGATTTAACAATAGATCACATGATGCAGAAACAGGCAGAAGAAAATGGTAATAATGGGAGAGAAGATGAAAAAGTGGTAGAAATTGAGAAGAGAAGCATGGATGCAGTAGGGAAAATCTAACATCTGTGTTCAATAATCAAACTAATTCCACAATTCTTATGCAAAATTAAAATCTTAGTCATATTCTAGTTAGTAAACCACAAATAAATGTAAACAATAAAACACAATAATAAGACAGATAACAACTGCTAGGAGGTTAAGCACAACAGATCAATTAAATGACATAATCAAGCTTAAACAGCATAATTAATTCCTCAACTTAAAATCCTTAGACAATGGCTCTATACCATATCACAAAGTTAGTAATTAGAAGTATCATATGCATGTGAAGCAATCATTGATTTAGAACTGCACACCTGATAATCATTATCACGAGCATTGGAAGGTATGCTCACACATGGGAAATCCTCAAGAACTCTTATACCTGACTTGATCAGATGAATGTTTGGGCATTCAATGACAGCCACTGTAGGTCCATTATGTTCAGATCTGGCACCCATGATAGTTATGAGGCAATTTCAATCAGACTAGTTGAAACCAATAGGAATATAATACTAAATAAACAACTACAAAATTCCAATAGCTAAACAAAAAGTTAGAGAAAAAATGAAAAGAAAAAAAAATTTCCAAAAGAAAGGAAGAGAAAAAGGCGTCAAAATCAGCACTTAAAAATACAAGAGAGGAATAATCAAACAAATACAAAATTGATAACTGTTTATGATCCAAACACATGGTACTCATAAGTGAGTAGGAGATAAGAGTAATGAGTAGCACAAAATCTCCAAAATAAAGTAATAACAAGCTTAGGGTCACAATAATTACTGAGAAATCAGATTAAATCAGAAGCAAAAACATAAACACTACAGGAAATGAAACCTATTTTATTTTTTATTTTTTAGGGTAATCGAAGGATCGTGGGACCTTTCCTAACTATCGTCAACAGCATCTCAAACAGCTTTTTCATTTAAACAAAATGGATTTGTTATAAAATCTAAACCAAGCTACTAGAATTGAAGCCATTGAATAATCAAAGCTCACCCTTGAAATAACAGATAAATTGCTACAAGATCAATGTAGAGGCAAAACAATATTAAAATACAAAGCAAAACCTGTGATCACTTATAGCTCTTTGTAAAATTTTTTCAGCATCCTTGACATAGTCCACATAGTGCACCTAAAGTAAGTAAATTCATTAGATATGTTACAGATATGGGCAAACGTGGCTTGGTGACAATCAGATAAAATGTTTAATTAGAAATTACAAATCACCTTGCAAACAATTCCATTTCGAGGAGGCAGTTCACAAGACAAGGCTTGGCATGCTTCACGGAAATATTTCTCAAGGATGTTAGGAGATATAATTTCATTTTCATGATGAGGATTCACTACCACCAGAGACAGTTTTCTTGACGAAGAAAAGTAACCAGCATATATAGCCCGCCCCTCACAAATACTGAAGAATGCAAAACAAAATCTATACGGTAAGGCTACATATTTATATGGAAGAAATGAAAGGTATATTGGAATGAGAAAGGAGCTTCAGAAATTGGAATTTTTGCCTTTACTATTTAAACATCATCAATACATTGTCCAGTAGACCAAATATCATGTGCAGAAAATCCCTTTACAAGGCCCAGAGACCATGGGCATATCTACGTACAGGTGCAAATACATTCTTCTAGAGTAATAGTGTTTATTTACTTTCAAGCATTGACCGCCATTTTTCTCTGGGGTTCAAAATAAAGATTCATATACATTCAAAACAATACATGAAAAAGATTCAGGAAAGGGGAAAGGAAAAAGGAGAGCTATACTGCAGCAAAGATGTGATATAAAAATATATTGATACCAAGCTTTGTGGCAGAGTAACGCATTTCAACATTCTACATTATCTCAAATATACTATTTTTTGATCAAGATGCTTAAACAATTAAAATAGCTAAAAGAAAAGAGACACCAAAATGAACATTAAATTAAGCTTGTAAATACCAATGTTTTCAGGAAAAAAAAGAAAAATGAAGAAAACTTACAACAATCAATGTTATGTCATGATCAAAGTCAAACTATTAGATTATTACTTCAAATTTTCAAAGCAACCTTTGTACAGCCTACATGTAATACACTGAATGCTTAGATGCAGGATATTATAGTTACCTGTGATATAAGTAAAAGAATGAGATTGACTGCTCTAGATAAGAACATTCTGTTGTTGTTTTCATTTGTAATTCACTCAAACTCCATCCGTCTTGTGCATTTCGTTTTATAGCTGTTTTGTCCACTTTACAAACACAACCAATCTGAAGAATAGCATCGAAATGCAATGGAACCTTCATTTCATATATTCCCTGATCAAAGATTTCCAATCAAATTGAACCAAAGTTGAGATAATCGATAAGCAAGCTATTTAAGTAGATTTGAGAATAGAAAGGTGAGTTTCGTACATATAAATTAAAAGTTGTGATTTTCTTTACCCACAGTCATTTCCAATTTTAGTATTTAGAAGTTACAATGCATCCTTAAAATAAAACTTTTAAGAATACAGTGAAAAGCTATATGAAATAGATATCTCTTCCTTTTCTCAAATAATTCAGCAATTCTAAGAAATGGCCAATGTATGGATGTGTGTAACATAATATTACTGTATAGAGAAAAATTATTAAAAGAGAAACACTTTGGGACATTTTTCTGTTTGTTTGGAACAACAAATTCTCAACGAACCCACATCCATAATGGTGAAATCAAATTACATAATAATTAGCATAACCCACCCCATGATGCAGGGTTACCTATTATTTCTGTTTGTATAGGGGAAATCAAATTATTTAGCTTTAGTTTCTTATTTCATTAAGTCTTTAAGATTTGATATCATTAATTAAGAGTCCTATTAGGGTTTTACAATCTATATAAATGCCATTTTGTATGAGGTAAGAAATGTTTTGGTGAGTTGAATAAAAGATTTCCATTCTTCCTTCTACTTCTCCCCATTCTACCAGATCTCCTCTTCCTTCTTATCATCTTTAACATGGCAGTATTATTTCATCAAAAATCATATGTAAAGTACATGGGGTACTTATAAAAAGACCAGATTACTTTTCAGGCAATTGGTAACAAGTTTCGGAGTTTGTCACAAGTAATGAACGGTAACTAATGAAGTTTCTGCCACTTGTACTAACATTTTCAAATTCCTTTGCTTCCATCCCTTTTTATCTATTTCTCCACTTACTCTTCTCTATTCCTTATGTTATACATCGGAATCTTTTGCACATGATAAAAACTTTTGTGAAGATCATGACACTTTACCATACTCGAGTTTTGGGTGGATGCCCATGCAGAGGTTACTTTGCTAATCAAGACAAAAAGGCACACTTGATGGGTTAGACAAGGAGCTAATAATTTCTTTTGGCCTTACAAGAAGCCAACAATTAGATAAACAAGAGCAAAAATACTTATTTAACTCTTTATGTGTCAATAGATTCTATGAAGTTAGCAAGATTAAAAATATAGATTGATCAAGAATTTAAAGTTTTCTGCCAAAAAAAAAAAAAAAATTCAAAGATTGAGAACCTGTTGAAGTTTGAGTAAATAGTCAAAAAAGTAAAAAGATAAATCCTTTCTAGAGTATGTGAAGGCAATGATGTATGAATGATGTCAATGGGTATAGCTTGCTGACCTCTATTTCAGGATCTGCAAGGAGAGCAGCAAGTTTTTTCCCCTCTTTCTTAAATTGATCTTCATCAATTATAACCTATTAAAACTCATAGAAAAGAGATTGCAATTAAACTCTAAGAACTCAATAGAAAAAAGGAAAAGGGAGAAAAAAGGAAAAGGGAGAAAAAATATATTCCAAGTGACAGAAGAAATATGCTTGCCTCAATTAGATTATAGCTCCGCTTTCCATGCGGAAGAGTCTTGTTTACTCGCCTTCCAGGAAAATCTTCTGATATAGGTCCTTTAGAGTTAAGGTAAAAAACTCTTGGAACAGTTATAGGAATTTTAAACATAATTCCTTCAGCAACAATCCAAGCAAAAAATTGGCCATTCTGTGAACTTGGAATTAGCTGTATTATCTGAAATTGGAAAGAGCAAGATTATGTCATCAAGTTCAGTGAAGCCTCATGTTCTTAATGGAAGAAGACCATACTACCTGCCAATGGGAACTTGTAAGAGAAACTTCATGATTCCTAAAATATGAACCAACACCAGTCCTTCCCCGGGTACCTCTATGGTTCACATCTCCCAGTGGCTCAGAATGTTGACTAGAAAGATTGGAAGTCCTTAGATTGTTAAACCTGCCAAAGAGTGGAATCTCACGTAAGAATACCCACATCCATACAGAAATACAAATATATGGTGGAGGCAAGACTCAAAGATCTGCAAGATGGCACTAGATTAACAGGAAAAAGGAGCATTCAGCAAACTAAATGAATAGAACTCGGTTTTTTTTTTTTTTTCTTGGGTAGTGAAATAGAATTCATATTTAATTAACATTAACAAAACCAAAAGATTCCAAACAAAATATTCTCAATTTTGAATCACTTTTAGGATTTGTCAGGGCCAAACAGATCCTTATCCCCCTCCAGCAACATTTTAAGACAACACTTGACAACATCTAAGCCTCAAGTTATAAACATTTTCTCCATTTAACATCCGAAGATGAATAAAGTTTATACAGCCACTTGTGCTAGCTTCTGCATTATTCTCAGTATGCAAATTTCATCAGCCAAAATTTAATTTTCATACTCCTGAATAAGTCCCATCAAGGAAGAAAGGAACCTCAAATGAAAGAGGAATTAAGATTTAAGGAAGTATTATCACTAAATTATTTGCCCTACATTATAATAATTTGCTTTTATTTTTTCCCAGAAATACCAATTTGCATTAAACAGTTTCACTACAAAAAGAACATAAATTTACCTTTGCCTCTTTCTCATTTCTAGAGTTTCTTTCCATTTTCTTTTCTTGATTTCAAGCCATCCTTGGTAATCAACATTTCTGTCAACATTCTCAGTGGAAAGAACATTTTGTTGCAATGGTGAAGACTCTTGGTGGGCATTTCCTCTATGATCAGCTTGAGCTTGTAAACAGCAGGCTTGGTCAGTTGTCTTACCCGAATCTTGATCATTACTAACTTCATAACAACGGACTATAGGTCTAGGCCCTGCCTTAGAATTTCTGCTTTTGTTTTGGAAGTCTTCTAGATCATCAACAATATTGGTTGTAATATCAATAGTAGTCTTCTTCAACAAATTATCTCTGACTGATGAGTTAAAGATATCAACTAACTTCCACTGACGAAATTTGTCTTCCTTCTCACGAACCTTTTTATGCAGCCATTCAGGATGAACCACTCGAGGGACAGGATTACCAACCTAAAAAAATCCAAACTTGTCTTTGGAAGATTACACAAGCAGATTACTTCAAATAATAATACCAAGACAACAAGAAACAGAACCTTTTGCATTGCAGCTGGAATAGTGATAATTTTCTGAATTGCTGAACTAAGCCGTTGCTTGTAATATGACCAGTCAACAATGGAACGAATGCTGACATCTAAAGAGGTTCTGCACCATTTCCGCAGATAGAACTTCATTAATTCTGTAAAGTTGAAGCAAATAGTTAATTCATTTAGCATATAAAATATAAGACAAAATACAATTAAAATTGACAAGAAACAGAACTAACCTGCATCAGTTTCAAAAATTGGAACAGGAATAGCACGCTCACTAACAGGGGTACCCTGCTCATATCAAATTGCAAATTTCCAGGCTTAAACATCAATGCAATATGCTGGGAAAAAAAAAAACACCAATGCAGTATAAAAAATAAAATAAAAATTAAACATAAAGATTCCAAATGCTTTACAATTCACATGGTGCTGTGACATATTAAATTACAACATCTTTAGGTGAAAACATAAAGGAGTTCCTTCAGTAAAAAAATGAAGATGAAACATATGATGCAAGTGCAATAAAATAATCAAATGAGGTTGCTAGACTGACTTGAGCATAGAAGACTGAAATAAGCCACAAATAACAATAACAGTGAAAAAAAAAAGGTGTCATCTGTATTGGAGGAAACAGATTCATATGCACAAAAGAAAGAACTCCATATTCAGAAAACAAGCAACAAGTTCATTTGTATTGGAGGAAACAAGTTCAACTTATAGCAAGTGTAGAGCTGACACCCCTCCAAATGACCAGAAAATCTAGATAAGGATATCAATACATGAATTCATAAACTACCTTACATTTTTCAGGTATAAATTTAGCCTTGAGTATAGAAAGTTAAGGTCCTCTATATTACAAAGAAAACTAAATTAAAACTTCATAAAAACCTATATGCTATCACACAATAGAACAAACACTTAATCCTTCGAAAGAAGGCAAATGTACATGGAGATGGGGGTTAGAGGCAGGGATTGCTAAGGACACTTGGGATTGAACCCAAGATCATGCCTATCACAAAAAAATTGGTAGAGCTTGTGTATGTTATTGGGGCAACATAAGGACAATAAAAAGTTATCTCATTGACATTTAAGTATGTTTAAGTTCTTAAAGTTGACAATAAAATGCACTCGTTTGGTCTGAATACTACATTTTTATCCATGTTAGATACTAAATTTGTCTGTCCCTTGACTCCTGGTAATATGACCTTATGATTCAACTTCTGAGATGGTACTTTTCAATAATTATTTGCAATTACGTATAAAAAAATGATCCATTGTGCATCCACTAGCTATGCTTAATGAGAGAAGCATACCTTTGGTTCACATGCCACTATATACTGACAGCGTAGTCCTTTATCTTTAACCATTGCATCACCAAGAAAATCAGCAAGACGTCTTGCAGTGGTCACTGCACAAGACTTCTGTTCACCATAATCAGATAAAGACTTGCTCATTGTGCTGGATTCAGATATGTAATCCAATAACTCACTATCCGCAATATCCTTCCCTTGGTTCTGGGATAAATAATAAGAAGAAGAAAATCTTAACTAACCTTACAAATTGTCAAACTCTTAAATTTGGAGAAAATATAGCAAGTACAATAGACTGTTTCCTTTTTTATCTTGGTATATTAAAGTACAATAGACTGTTGAAGCACAGATAACTTGGAAATTCAAACTACTCTTTAACATACATCAAGAAGATCAAGCCAGCGATTTGCAACAGCAGCAACTGCTGAGTAGCATTCTTCTAAGGTTGTTCCATGAAGAAACTTATCAAAAACTTCAGCCTGCAAAACAAAGAAAGTTGTAAAATAAAATAATTTTTTTTTTTTTTTAAAGTACAATTTAATATGGTAGATAGTAACGTAGAGAAGGAATGTACTTAGCATTGACAAAATCATTTATTTGAATTAAAGCTTTATTACTGCCAACATTTATGCTCATAAATCACACAGGATGTATCATAAGAGCAAATTCATTCTGCTGTATCATTATAAGCATTCAGAATAATGAAACCTAGAAAAGAGTCAAAAGACACATCAACCTAAAAGGGCATCCAACCTAAAATCAATTGCTATAGGTGGGATATTTCCTTAATTCAAGTCTACAGGCTTTCCCTCAATATATTGAGGTGGGATATTCCAACTTAATACAACCCCTCCAGTGCAGGCCCAGTATGAATCTAATACCATACTAAAGAGAGCCCAACCTAAAATCAATCAGCTATAGGTGGAGAGGCCTGTATTATATACAAGTCCACAAGCTTCCCCTTGAACTATGCTGGGTTTTCCCACTTAACAGTAACAAGCTTAAATTTTTGCCATGTTATCTTGTTAGGATGCATAGAATACACCCAACAACTGAGGTAAATTCAATAATCATTGTCAAAAGTTGATGAATTATTTGCCTTTTGCATCAATGGTAAAAATACCATGAGGAAGCATAGAAGTAAGAGAAATACCTGGAAAACTTTAATGAGTTTTAATTCACCTCTGCGTTTTATCTCAAAACCTTTAAGTTCTGCAAGCGTTCCATCATCATTAAAAACAGCATATCGCTTCTTAATTAAAATTCCTTCTTCCTTAGAAGCTGGAAGAATCATTGCCTTCATCAAATAATAAAAGTGAATACCATGAATAACAAAACCAATTTTAAATTCAATAACTTATGTACAATTCCGTGTTACCTTGTATGGTCCATCAACTTCAAACTCAATTGAGCATTCACTATGAGTTGCATAAATTTTATTGACAGGATCTATGAGTGTCTGTTTTAAGAAAAAAAAAAAAAAAAAAAAAACACACACACACACAGAGTCAGTTTGCAGAAAAGAAATCATCAACTGAAAATTTTAGAGTTGTCTCCTGAACAGAAACAGCTAACAATTAGAAAATAGGCATCCAGCTAACCTGGTATTGATCATTTGTATTATTTCTTGCTACATCAACATTGAGCATAACACAAGGATAGGAGATTGTCAGCTTCTTCTTCATGTCTCTAACAAACAGTATGTGTAGATAATGATCAATATCTGTTAGTGTGCCATGCAAAGAAAGCTACTTATCCTCTTCAGTCAAATTATATGCAGAACTACCATTCTGCAAATGTTCAATTCATCTTGCATAAAACAATCACCATACTTAATTTTGCCACAAATATTCACATGGTCAATGAAGAACAAGAACTTACTTTGTTTTGAAAGTAAAGTTTTCTGGAAAAGATCCAGGGAGGGCACACCAGATACCATCAGTGTCCAATTCAAGTGGTTTTCCAATTTTTTCAACAAGCAAACGAGCATTTTGAATTATTTTGGCACCAGTATAGGTAACAACTCCAGCCATTTCCATTGAGTACCATCTTGCACCCCTTGATCAGAGACATAAAGAAACATTAATTTGAACATGAGCATATTATATAACAAAGAGATCCCTAACATGAGGAAAATGAAGTCTTTTAAGAACCAGATGAAACTTCCAACTTACTTGCGCATGACATATCCATAGAAGGAGTTAAGTATACACTTATGAGCCAGTTGCAAAGAATCATAAAGCACAACCATATCCTGAAAAATATCGACAAGCAAAACCAAAAATCATAAGAAGATAAATTGATGGTTTCTGACTCTGCTTTCAACAAACTGAAGAATATTTAAGATACTTGTGCTTCCTGGATCTTCATAGGATTTCCACTGGCCTTGGCTTCAGACAACTTTCCCTTCCAAACCTTATTAAGTCCTTTGTATTCATATCTTCTATCTCGAAAGCTTCAATTGGGTTAAGAAAATGTGATTAGTATTAAATTTATAGTAAAAAGAATTCAGGCCCCATTACTGGTTTAACTTCATGATTATAAAATAATATAAATAACAAAGAAACCTTGGAAAACAATTACTTTACACTTTTACAGCAATCCCTAACTTCCAAAGAAGAGATGAAGAAATAAAGAGATATAATTAAACAAATCAGAAAATACTATACTTATTACAAGTGAAAAAGTTGTACAGATGATAATTTGGTACATAAGATGCACGGCACAAGATGATCTTTAAAATTACCTGCGAACAGTGTCAACATAAAATGGGTTTTCACGCATGCAGATCCCCGCTTCTCGTACTTCAGTGACTGGCTTGTCAATTACTCTCTTGTAGACCTGAGAGAGATGCCAAAGCCTTTATGAGAATCATTACTCAGTAAAGGCAAATGCTTAAAGACCAGACATAAATACCTTCTGACAGTATTTCTTTAAACGATCTTTGAGCCTGGACTGTTGCTCTGGTTTTGGAAGGTCAAGAAAAGATTTTGGCAACTGTCCATCAGTCCCATCAACAAATTCAGACTCAATTTGTTTCTTCAAGTGGTAATAGTCACTGAAATAATTTGCCATGTGTCCACGCAATTGTCAATCAAAGTTGGGTTATATACCAGAATAGAAAACTATAGAGAAAGTAAGAGAAGAAACCTTTTCTTAGCCATGAATATCTCTCCACGCCAAACCCATTCAAGTTTCCGGAGACAGGTCTTGCCTGGACGATTGAAATCACATGCAGTGCATACCTCATCTGTGACTATTGATGGTGGCTGGAGATCAAAAAGAAACCTCTTGAGATGTTAATTGCTCAGGAAGTCATATAGAAGGTTATAGAATTCTGAAAGAACGTAAGAAAAGACAAAGAAAAACAATCTGAAGCTCCAAGTTTACAAAATATAATGTTGTGCATTTACCCAGCCGTGCAGTGTTATGTATTCTACCGTCTGACCGCCAACAATTCCCACTTATGTCAAACACTATTTGTTTTTTGTTAATTAGATTAAAAGCCCATCTAAAATAATTGGAAAAACAATGACAAACCAATTAAGATTTTCAACCATAATGCAAAAAAATAAGTTTATCTATCAGCACACCTGAAGCCTGTTTGTCAAAATAATATTTGGATACATAGCAGCTACATCTAAATGATAAATGAGAGGACATTCTTCACGGATAGGTTCATCTTTCAACCTGATAAGCTGCATAAGAAGGAAAAATCAATATTATAAAAAATATCTTAATGCATTTCTAAAAGGACATAGACCTTGGCATCATAATTCAGGTAAATGACTAAATTATTAATGATTCTCCAAGAACATAAATAAAAAGTTAAAAAATACACATCCATAACAAAAATAAAAAGGGTTTGAGTGCAGCACATTGTATAGAACTGGTGATGCAGATAAGGAAATCCTCTATATATTAGATTCTATTATGATTATGAGCATATAGGAATTAAATTGTAATATTTACCTAGCATTTAGGCTTTGATATATTTCAATAAAGATTCTTAGTAGGATCTAATTAGGAATTTTTAAGTCTAATTAGGGTTTAAGCCTTTTTGTATAAGCTTAGAGTTGAACATGAATTGAGTTTAAGTCTTCCAGAATTCCACAATTTCTGCTTTTCTCCTCACCTTTGCCTAATTTGGTACCAGGATTCCAAGTTTTTTTCATTTGCTGTAAAATTCCCATCATGATCCCATCAATCCGCTATTGAAGCAAAACCTCTGACCTGCCTTTTGGTTGGATTGAAGTTTGGAAAAGAGCCCAATAACCAAAGAACTATCCATTCTCAGATTTGCAACGATCTTGTTGTTTCATAAGGGAAACAGCACTAGAAAGAAGCTCAGACAATGCCAGAGGCATGGCCAGAATGAGCTGCCACGCACCCCCACAAGCTGGGGCCCAGTTGTAGGACAAAGACCCAACCCAGGAACAATACCAGATCTAGTTCCGTTTGAAGGGTGCCATGTCATCAACGAAATGTTAGACAAGTCAGTGTCATCATGCCATGACGGTGAACTATTACCCCTTAAATTTCAACCTGTTGAGTTTCATTTTGAGGTCCATTTTTCCAGATTCTGCTTGGAACTGTCACTTTCAGACAGGTGGGTGGGTTTGACATTGATTTTCTAAGATTTCATGGAATGAAAAATGGTGCCTTTTGTTCATCCAGCTGCTCATATTATAAGAGAATATCAATTGTGGAAGCTGTTGCAAGAGCTTGATCATGTTTGCTGATGTTGGATCTTGAGCATCATGCATTGATTATTGAAATGTTCCAACATTTTCTGAAGTCGATCAGAGATTACCTTTCACAAAGATTTTTTGCATTCATGGAAACAATTATGACTCTTGTTATGGGAAGAAAGTGATGACATCTCTATGAAGCCATTCTCTCAATCACTTGTTAGTGTGAAACAAGATGTTTTACCTATTGCTCGACAATTGATAGAAAAAGTGCTTGAGAATTCTGCTACTAAGCTTGAACCTTATTTGACACAAGCTTGGGACAAAAAAGAGAATCTCACAGCTACAGAAGTTGATTTACTAATGAGGAAAATCCAAAGTCAACTTTTACCAATGATATTCCCCTACCAAAGGAAGATGCTAGTGGCCCAGTACAAGTATCTGAATGACCATATGGAGCATGTTGACTTCATCTTAGACTCCTTCATGTGAAACCTGCTACTTTGATATTTGTGTCCTTTGGTTTAACAGGAGTTCAGGCTATAAGTAATGCTGGCAACTGCATTTGACATATTCTGTTACTCCAAGACTTCTACAGCTTCAACATTGCAAAAGTCAAGGTTGAGACTAAGTGGGGGAGAATGATACAGGTGAGGTAGGAAATCCTCTGTATATAGGATTCTATTATGATTACAAATATATAGGAATTAAATTGTAATATTTCTTAACTATTTATATTTATTAGGATTTAATATATTCTAATAAAGATTCCTATAAGAAGTTTAAATAGAAATTTTAAGTCTAATTAGGGTCCAGCTTTTTTATACAAGTTTAGTTTGCATGAGGGTTCTTGAGAGTAAAATATGAACTGAGTTATAAGTATTCCTAAAACCCCCAGTTTTTGCTATTACCTTCTTACCTTAGCTTCTTTCCCCTATTTATCCAAAAAGCATCCATTTCTAGATGTACATAACTAGACTTCTATACAGAAGAATTCCACTTGAAAAATATAATTATAAAAACTAACAAGAAAATATGGGGAGGAACATAAACATGAAAAAAAATGTATATAAGAAGTTGCATCACCTTTCCCATTATTTCATTCTTCACCTCATCATAATTAGAGACTGCTTCCAAATCCATCTTACCCTCAACTCTTATTGCATATTGTAGATCTCGATCGACGTTGTTTATCAGTTGCTGGGATAAAAACTCTCTGGCTTCAGTCAATAGCACTCATAAAGCTTAAATTTTTAGCATATAATGACTACTACTAATTTCCTTTTTGTTTGTGAACATTAAAAACACTTAATTTAAGATATAAAAAGAAAAAAAAGCAATCCTAAAATGCAGAAGGTAAAACTACACAACAAATAATAGAGTGAATTCCAAAAAAAACCAAAATTTTACATGTAAAATACATCCCATTATAAACCAACCCCCAATCCCCCTCCAACACAAACAGACACTGACAAGCACACATATTAACCCCTTAACAAAGCAACTGTAAGTTTAACATTACCCTCTTGAGTTGCTATTTGTGAGTAAATGTACATTATTTTTCAAACCGCAGAGGAGTGCTTAGATGCCAAAAATCTGGAATTTTTTAATTCACCCCAAAGAATAATAATTTCGTTTTCTCCATGGCAGCATCCACCTGTTTTCCATAGAGAAAAATTGAACCTCGCGTGGCTAAGCCTTAACTTGCTGAAGACTTTGTCCTTTGAGTTAAATTCATTCTTAAAATACATCAGATAAAGACATCTCAAAACCTTGCAGGTTTGATCTTTATATCCAGATATTTCTA